GACTTTTTCGGAGGGCTTTCGCGGGCCTTGCTGGGACTTGTAGTTTTCTGCAGTGAGTTACACTCCTCGGCACCCAGGCTGGGGCGGGAGGGGAGACTACAAGTCCCAGGGGGCTCGGCGTGGTCACTCGAAGGGCGGGGGTTACGAAAGAGGAGCTCGAAGGGCGCTGGCGTGAGTGTGGGCCCTACGGCGGGTGGCAGGTCGTGGCCCGGTGGGGCTACGCGCCGGGAGGGCCGGGAGGGCCTGGAGGTCGGCTGGCGGTGCCCGTGCGTCCTTCCGCTTCGGGAGCGCAGGCGTGGCGTGGCTGGCCCCGAGGGCTGTGGGTGGTGGGATGGTGGCCGCCAGACCGCGCCGCCGGGCTCACTCTCCGTGCCCGTTTCTGTCGCGAAGCCCCCGAAGCCCTTGGAGAGGTCGCCGGGGCTCTCGGCGTCGGCCGCGAGCTCGGGGAAGCAGCGCTGGCAGGGTCCCCCACCGACCCCGGGTGCGTCCGGCACAGCGCCTGGGGGACTCGGGGTGCAGGGTTCGCCCCCAGAGGGGACCGCGACCTCCTCCTCCGGGCGGCATCCTTGCGGCTGTGGAGATGAGCGCCCCGGCTCCGTCCACTGTCCACCCCCCCCTGCCCACAGCAAAGCCCTCTGCGAGTGCAGTGGCCACCCAGTCCGCTCGCGAGCCGTGCGCACCCGGGGTTGGTGGTCAGCTGTGGCGGTCGTGGACGCCCTGCAGCGCCCACCCTCTGGGGGGCTTCCAGCCCATCTCTCTGCTAACACTTAAGGGATAGCACCGGGGGACGAGGCCTTGGGCTGCATCCCCGGGGAGCCCCTGGACCGGCCTTGGGCTGCACCCCGGGGAGCCCCTGGCTTTAGACTGGCTGTTCTAGCCATTTGGGGAGTGAACCAGCTGGTGTCTTCTTCCCATATTACTGTGCTTTCAAATAAATGAATGAGTCTTATCTTTTAGAGATTTATTTCTTTGTCTGAAAAAGCAAGGTTGCTGAGCAAGAGGTTGTGCAACCTTTGGTTTGCACTGTGGATGGCAATAGCGGCTGGGCCAGGAGCGTCAGCCCAGCCTCCCATGTGGGTGCAGGGACCCAAGCACCTGGCTACCCCTTCCCACTGGCACGCCCTTGGTGCAGTTCCCCCAGTGTGTCCCAGTTTTCCTACCAGAAACTGTGGGGAGACAGGCGTTTTCTTCCAGAAGTTTCCTAGGTTTGGTTGTTGCATTTGGCTTTCGAGCAGCTGCCACTTTCCCTGGGGATGACACGTCTGTGCAGTCAGTTCACTCCGTTGCTGGACTGCTTGTTGCATTGACCTGTTTGTTTCGTTGTGGTGGTGGTGTTTAAGGGTTTGTTTTTTGAGGCAGAGAGATCTTCCATCTATACTTCACTCCCCGTGGCTGGCCAGGCCAGAGCCGGGAGCTGGCATCTGTCTGGCTCTCCTAGGTACCTCAGCTGGCAGCAGGGCAGCGGGGCCCCAGTGGGTGCTGCAGCCAGGCCAACACACCCCAGAAACTGGCCCTGAGCCTTTGCATTCTTTTATTGCTTTGAGTATTCCAGTCTTTTTCCATTTGTATTTCAACTGCTTGTCAAAACAAGAGGGAACCTGCTGGAATTTCTGTGGGCAAAGCATCAATTTGTTGATGAACTTACACCCAGATCTGCACCTTTGGGTCCTTTAGTGGGCTTTTGTTGTAAAAAATGTGTTTCAGGGGCCCATGTGGTGTCACAAACAGGCTACCCCTCTGTCTACCTCTGTCTACAGCACAGACATCCCATGAGGCACTGGTCTGAGTCCTGGACACTCCATCCAGCTTCCTGCTTACGGCCTGGGAAGACAGTGGAAAATGCCCTGAGGCCTTGAGACCCTGCACGTGTGGGAGACCTGAAACAGTTCCTGGCTTCAGCCTGACTCAGCTCTGGCCATTGTGGCCATTTGGGGAGTAAACCAGCCGATGGAAGATCTTTGTAATTGCCTTTTAGAATTAAAAAATAATAATTTTTTTTAAGATTTATTTTTATTCTCATTACAAAGTCAGATTTTCAGAGAGGAGGAGAGACAGAAGATCTTCCGTCCGATGGTTCACTCCCCAAGTGAGCGCAACAGCCGGTGCTGCGCCGAGCCAAAGCCAGGAGCCAGGAGTCAGGAGCTCTTCCAGGTCTCCCACACAGGTGCAGAGTCCCAAGGCTTTGGGCCATCCTTGTCTGCTTTCCCAGGCCACAAGCAGGGAGCTGGATGGGAAGTGGAGCTGCCAGGATTAGAACCGGTGCCCATATGGGATCCCGGGCGAGTTCAAGGCGAGGACTTCAGCCGCTAGGCCATGCTGCCGGGCCCAATAAATAATAAATCTTAAAAAAAATAGTGTGGGGCCCAGCGTGGTGGCGCAGTGGTTAAGGTCCTCACTTTGCATGCCCGGGATCCCATATGGGCACCGGTTCTAATCCCGGCAGCCCCGCTTCCCATCCAGCTCCTTGCTTGTGGCTCGGGAAAGCAGTCGAGGACGGCTCAAAGCTTTGGGACCCTGCACCCACGTGGGAGACCAAGAAGAGGCTCCTGGCTTGGGATCAGCATAGCATCGACCGTTGCGCTCACTTGGGGAGTGAATCATCGGACGGAAGATCTTCCTCTCTGTCTCTCCTCTCTGTATATCCGCCTTTCCAATAAAAATAAAATAAATCTTTAAAAAAAAAGAAAAAGTGTGACAGTTTCTTGGAAGCTGGTCACGTGTGCTGGTCTCTGGGCAACTGGCCCTGTGGTGGTGCCTGGCCTTGAGGCCCTGGGAGGCAGCGCCCAAGGCCAGGTGGCCGGGTCTCTGCTACCCGCCTGGGAAGTCGGGGGCAGCTCCTGGCTTCCAGCCCTGCCGGCACAGTGTTGGGGTCTCTCTCCTGTCTTCCTCTCCCTGCCTGCAGCTCAGCAGGTGAAGAATGAACTGTTGGGGATTTGCTTGTACCTCTGTCTCTTAAATAAAGTTTCCTTTTCTGACTGTCTAATGCAGCTGTTAACTACATTTCCTCGGCATGTGGCTGACTCTCTCTTGAACTCTGGCTTTTATCTGGTGCCTTGCCTGGACTGAGCTCTGCAGGATGGAGGCTGGTGTGCTTGGACGGGACCCTCAGCCTGCCTGTCTGTGGCAGTGGGGTCTTTTTTTTTTTTCCTTTAAGATTTATGTATTATTGGAAAACCAGATTCACAGAGAAGAGAGAGAAAGGTCTTCCATTGGCTGGTTTGCTCCCCAAATGGCAGAAATGGTCAGAGCTGAGCTGATTTGAAGCCAGGAGCCAGGAATTTTTCTCCGGGTCTCCCACTTGGGTGCAGGGTCCCAAGACTTTGGGCAGGGAGCTGGATGGGAAGTGGAACAGCCAGGACACAGATTTGTGCCCATATGGGATCCTGGGGCTCGCCAGGAGGATTAATTGAGCCATTATGCTGGGCCCCAGCCTTGGGTTTTTGTAGGTATCTTATGGGGTTGAAGGTGTTCCCAGCTGTCTAATTTGTTTAGTTTTTATTTTTTGAAATCATAAAGGAGCCTAAAATGTCCTCAAGTGCTTCCCCTGTTTCAGATGATCCCGTGGGGTGGCTTAGAGTGTGAGGCCCACGCCATGCTCCGTCCCCTCTGCCATCCCCTGCCATCTTTGAGAGGCATTCCATCATGCTCCCAGCCCTGGGTCATCTCAGGGACAGCGACCCAGTGCAGGGCCTGGAGTGGGCCCTCTCCATGTTCTGGAAGACTCTGGGGGGTGCTGGAATTGACTCCAGGTTTCACGTCTTCATGTCTGCTAGATGTAGGCTGCTAGGTTCTTCGGCTTCCTTTGTGTGGTTTGATGCTCTGCACCTTTAAAGGACAGAGCCATGTGTCGGAGTGAGGGAGTCCATGGGGGTGACTGGCATCCCTGTCAGTTCCTGACCCTACTCAGAGAGAAGGGGACAGAGTGAGAGAGAAAGTTCTCATCCTGTGCCCACAACAGCCAGGACTATGCTGGGGTGAAGCTGATCACCTGGGTCTAATCCTGGTCTTGCATGTGGGTGTGGGAAGTCGGTTACCTGGGTCTGCGTTGGCTGAACTCTGGCATCTACATGTGTGAGGAAGATGCCCTCTGGGCACCCACGCCAAGACCCTTTGATTCCTCTGCGTTTGGAAGCTGGTAATGTGTGGGGTGGGATCTCCCATTGCCCGTTTACTCCCCGGTGCACATGCGGCCCTCCTGGTTGAGCCAGGGGATCCGTCCAGTCTCCAGCGCAGGGCCCAAGCACTTGATGCGTTGCTTCCACCTCACCAGAAGGTGCCAGAAATGTAACAGCTAGCACGGGAGTTAGGAAGGGGACCTGCTTGGGAGAGCCCAGGACAGAGCCTGGCCCAAGGGGACCTTCATGGAGGCACTCTGGAGTCTCCCTGGACCCTGGCAGCTGGCGTTTGCGTTGACAGGCTGGAGCCAGAGCCCAGGTGCCACACTGTGGGGCGTCACCCACCTACAGCTTGCAGCATCTCTGTGGCTGTACTCGACCTGAGTGACCTACCCTGTTTGAGATGACTGTAGACGTCTCGAGTAGTGGCTGCCTGGTAGGACCCCTGCACCCTGCTGAGCCGCATGGGGAGGCACAGGGGCTGCCATCCACTGGGAGACCTGGCTGGAGTTCCTGGCCCCCAGCTTGGCCCAGCCCAGTCTTTAGGGCAACTGGCAGCTCTGTGTCTGCTGACCATCATGATACAAGCCCCGGGGGAGGAGGCTCTCTGGTGCCAACCACAGGGCACATGCTGCCTGTTTGAACTCCTGCCCACCACCCCATGGCACAGGCTGCAGTGTTACAGCTAACTGCTCAAGGACACTGACCCCGTCACTCAAGGTGATGCTTTCCTGCCTCGCCCTGCAGCCAATGGGATGTCCCCAGACTGGGACTGTGCCTCGAGAGGAAAGATGAACTCGGCTCCAAGACCCTGCACTGTTTGGGCAGGGTCCGTCCAGAGGGACCCTCATGGTACCTCATCTCCCACTTGACTTGCAGGCCTTGGTGCTGGGCACGGGTGGGTCCCATGAACTTCCAGGCGCTTAGCTGACCACTGACCGCCTCGGGCGGGACGGATCTGATGTGTGCAGCACTCGTCCTGCAGGGCAGGTAAGGCCCCCCTTGCTCAGGCCCAGCCACCACCCTCCAGACCCAGACCAGCTAGGCACTGCCGTCCGCCTCACCCGCTCATTCCGCCTTTCAGGCCCCGCCCTCTTCATGCCCCCTGGCATGGCTCTGCTGCGCCTTGTGCTCCTGGCTGGGCTTCTGGTGAGAGCAGCTGGCACGTCCACAGACAGCCTGGTAGGTGGCCCTGTCCTGCTGAGGTTGTTGACCCAGAGGGGTGTTTCCCTTCAGCCGGGGCACACTGGGACCCCTACTCCAGGGAGGCTCACTGGGTTCCTTTCAAGGTCAGAAGCCAGCAATGCGTACCTCACATGACTCAGCTCCTCTCCTCTGTCCTTGGGGTGCCCCCTGTTGTAGGAGGAAATTTCTCTCTGCTAACACTGGCAAGAGCTATATGGCTCCGAGGGGTGCCTGTGGATGCTGGTATTTAGGTGGGCACTGAGCTGGGGTCGCACAGGGCAGGGCAGGACCATCAGGCCTTGCCCACTGGCTGTGCCCATTCCCTGTCCCTCAGTTACCATCACCACCCACTGTGCTCAGGTCTGGAGGACAGAAGCCCAGCCCTGTGGTCACCCTGTCAGTGTCCACGACAGTTCCCCTAGGACACTGGCCTGGCCTGGCTCCTCCTGAGTGGGGCCTGTACTTTGTAACACCTGCTCCAGCTCAGAGTGGCACCATGGTCCAGCTGCCCAGTTTTGGGTCTCTGACTGATAGAGATACCCACTAAGGAACACCAGGAGGCATGGGGCAGTTGCTGGAGCTGGCTCTGCCAGTGGCCGAGGGTGCCCACTCACGTGAGGAAGGGCCCTGAGCCCCAGCTCCCCAGGAGGCCTGGAGGGTGGGCAGGGAGCACCACCACCTGGAGGTCCCCGTGTGAGGTGGGACCAGCACCAGGCTCAGGACTGACGCACCAGCAACCAAACTCCAGGAGAAAAGCGTGTTGGATCACGTTGAGTGTGTTTCCTATCCTGGGGTGCCTGTATGTTCTCAGTTCAGTGAGATGGGCACAGGTGCCAAGGTGTGCCTCACACAGGGACGGATGCAATGACTGACCTGGGGGTGGGTGCAGGGGGTGACTGTCACCAGAGTGCCTGCTTTCCTGTGGCCTTGACACTCAGAGGTACCTTCTGCTGGTTCTGTGGCCTCAAGCAGCATTCAGGAACCTGCGACTTTGGCCCGCCTGCAGGACCCCATGGGGGATGTTTTAGAGAGTCCCCTTCAGCCACTGGTCTCTCAGTGATCAAATGCCTAGTTTGGTGTGTGGTCCTGAACTCAGACCTTGGGGCAGAAGCTCTGTAGGAACCGTGCCCCCACTTGGTATCTTGTACATGCCTGGCCCCTTCCCTGAAGCTCCTGAAGGGGAGTTGAGGGGCGGTGACCCTGTGTGGTCATCCTTCTGGACAGTCACCTGGACTGGGTCTACCCCTACCTGCAACCCTGGCAGCCGCTGAGGTTCTCCCTGGGTTGTCCTACAGGGAGAATGGTTCCCTGGTACTCTGTGTGTTGAGAAGCCGGAGGGGAGCCCCTTCGGAGGGCACAGGCTGGGTCCCTGCTGCATCACCTCTAATCCTCCCTCTGCCCCGCAGGCCCGGCAACCCAAATGCTGTGTGGATGTGGTGGACATCAACACCACCTGCCCAGGCACAAGCCTCTGTGGGCCAGGTAGGTCGCCAGTCATGGGCAGAGTCCAGCACTGCTGCCTGCGCTCGCACCTCACTGGATGCTGCAGGGCGGTCCGTTCCCAAGGCCACCTGGTTCCACATCCCATGTGATCAGCCTTTGGGCCTCCCAGGCCACCTGCCATAAGTCCCATCTGTCAGCTTCCCTGGGCCCACCTGCTCTAGTGACACCCTGCAGCACCTGGTGGGTGGGGCCTTGATCCTCCAGAGCCTGTATGTGTGCCAGCATGTGGCCCAGGGTCTGGGTGTGGTGGGATGTGGGCAAAAGGAGCCCCTACCCCCGTGTTCTTCCATAGCTTCTGCAGGGGGTTGCAGTCCTGCGCCCTTCAGCCAGTCAGCCTGTGAAGGGGCTGGGTGAGCCTGAGGTTCAGGGCTGGTCTGAACACCTGGTGAGTGGGGGGGCGGGGCAGAGGTGGGCAGGGGAGCCCAGGCCCTCCAGCTGCAGAGCTGACCTGAGGCAGGCTCTGCAGGAATGCCACTGCCCTGGCCCATAGTGGCTCTCAGTACAGAAGCTGTCTGTTCCCTGGGGCTGCTCTCCATCCAACTGGTGAACTTCTGGGGTCCTGAGTCCATTTGGGGTGGCTGTGGGCGGGGGCTGCTCCACCCACAGCCGTTGCCCCTGCATTCTGCTTGAGATGCCTTGGTGGGCCTGGCACACGGTGGGGTACCCACCTTCCCACTTCTTCCCTTCACAGCTGTGGGCCGGACCACAGAGTTCCCCATGAACAGGAGTGCAGGCACGTCTGGGTGGCCACACTTGGGTGAGTCCAGTGGATAGCAGTGTGGTCTGCTCTGGTGCCCATGCAGCCCCTTTTGTTATGGGGCAGGGAGTGTGCAAGGTGAGACAGAGCCAGCAGGGTCCAGAGCCCTGGCATGGGATCTGCTGGTGGAGGGCAGGCCTCTCACAACCAGCCCCTTCCACTCCAGGCCCTCAGGAGATACAGCACCCCGCCCCCACCCAAGGCCCTCAGGAAGTACAGCTTCCCCATACCCAGGCCCCCTGTGCTCTGTCCCCAGAAAGCAGAACAAGCTGGCCATGGGATATGGGATGGAGTTGGCTCTAAGGCCTCTTGTTACTGGTTCGCAGGCAGCAGATTCCCTGTCTGCCATCCCACCTGGCCTAGGACAGCACACCTGCTCCTTGGGACTAAGCTGCTTGGGGAACATTACCCTTTGATGGGTGCTTGGAGGGGACCAAGCCATCAGCACTTGAACTCTGTCCCTCACTGTCATGCACACTGGAGCTGGAGGCCAGTCCTTGGTCAGTCACCAATGAGGCCTTGGGCCAGGACCTGGACAGCTACGTGTTTGAGGGTTAGGTGGCAGAGGCAGACCCTGTTGTCTGGGTGTCCCTGTGCTGGCCCAGAGCTGTGGGCCTCCCCACTCAGGGCTCTGGTCACTTGCAGGGGGTCCCCCAGTGGTTGCCGCCCTCTTCCTGGGGACCTTTCTCATCAGCTCGGGCCTCATCCTCTCGGTGGCTGGGTTCTTCTACCTCAAGCGCTCCAGTAAGCTTCCACGGATCTTCCTTGGGAGAGAGAGAGGTATGGTTTTCCTTCTGAGTGCTGTAAGAACCCCCAGCCAGGGGTTCCCTAGGGTCCCCAGGACCCTGCAGACCAGCAGAAGCCACTTCCTGTGAGGGGCCCAAGTGCTGTCTTGGCTTCAGGAGCCCTCAGAGGTCTTCCAGAAGAGGGTGGGCTCTGTCTTCCTCCTTGGGTCCCAACGAGCCCCACTTGGCCTTGGAGGCCGCCTCTGGGCACCATAGGCCCTGAGGGTCGGAGCTGGCCCCTCGGAACTGGCATGGGACACCTGCACCAGTGGGGCCCTTCCTACTGCTCCTCTCTGCTCAGTGTCCGTGGTCACTGTGTGTGGGAGAAGCATGGTGCAGACAGCCTGGCAGTGGGTGCTGGGCAGAAGCACCTGCTCGGTCCCCAGGGTGACTGTGATTTCCTCTCCAGCCCCAGCCCTGCAGCCTGGTGAAGCTGTAAGTAACTGTCTCCTGTCTCCCAACCCCTGTGGTCGAGCAACTTGGGTCCCCTGCCCAGTGCAGCTGGGTCCTCATGGTGCCACCCCTCCTCGCAGGCAGCCATGATCCCAGCACCCCAGTCCTCAGGTAAGGGCAGCAGCATCAGCGGGGCTCCCTCCAAGGGCGCTATGGTTTCCAGAACCCCAGCCAGTACCTACCATCCCTCCAGTCACCCCACAGGGCATCCTGGGGTCCAAGGGTCCAGCATGAGGTCAGGCCCTTGTCCTGCTAAGCAGGACCCTGGCCTCTTTCCCACTTGTGCCCCTCCTCTTTGGGGGGCAAAGCGGCTTGGTCAAGGCCAGCCCTGATCATGTACATGGCACTTGTCAGCTATGTTGTGGAGTCACAGCCTGGGTGGCCATGGCAGTCAAGGCAGGAGTGCTCCAGGGAGGCTCCTCCCCACACCCCAGCCTCGGGGCTGCATGCCACCTGTTGTCCCTGTCTCCACTTGCTCCACTCACTGCCACCCTGTGGTTTTAATACAAACAGCACAGCCTGCTGTTGATCCAGACAACAGACTGGCCACACACACAGGGACCCTGGGCCTGCCACACCCACGGGGACCCTGGGCTCGTCACAGTCCCACAGCCCCGGGGACCCCGGGCCCGCCACACCCACAGGGACCCTGGACCTGCCACACCCATGGGAACCCTGGGCCCATCACAGCCACGTGGACCCTGGGCTCGTCACACCCATGGGGACCCCCGGCCCGCCACACCCACAGGGACCCTGAACCTGCCACACCCATGGGAATCCTGGGCCCAACACAGCCACGGGGACCCTGGGCTCGTCACACCCACAGGGACCCCGGGCCCGCCACACCCACAGGGACCCTGGACCTGCCATACCCACGGGGTCCCAGGCTTTACCCTTCTCAGTGTAGGAAAAGCTGGCCTCTGTCCAGGTTGGTGCATGATGTGACCAGTGGCGGCTGGCCCTGTGGACACGCATGACCTCCTCCTGGTCCAAGGGTGACCCTTGTGTAGCTTCCCCCACCCCTCCTAGCCCCTGCTAGCTTGGCTCTGACCAGTCCTTCCAACCATGTGCAGTACGGAAGCCACGGTACATCCGGCGTGAGCGGCCCCCAGAAAGAACCTTCTCAACGGAAGCTCGCATCAGTAATGTGTGACCCGGAGACTGTGTGGACCTGGTGGCAGGTGATGGGGCTGTACCCATGGGCCTGGGACAGGTGCCACATGAAGCCACCTTCCCGCCATGCCTTTGGCTAAGTCGGATCCAGGGAGGTGGTTTGGGCTCCAACTCCTTAGAAGGAGACAGCAGCTGGCTGTTTCACTGCCTGCAGCCCAGGGTGGGCTGAGCTGCCCTGACAGATCCCCTCCTGTGTAGGACATGACCTTGGGACACCTGCCTGCAACAGGGACACCAAGCCTGCTACCTTCCCAGCAGTCACAGGATGCAGTTGCCTGGGCTCTGGTGTCACCAGCACAGCTGGCCATGGGGCCTCAGGCTCCAGGCATGGCTTCCTACTCGCCTGGCCTCCTACCATGAGAGCTGTCCCCAGAGCATGGCCCAGAACCTGGGTCCTGCAAAGGACAGAGCCTTTGAGGCCAGCTCCTGGGGAGAGAGGCAGCATCATTGTGCCCCTTGGGGTCTGGCTTGCCCCCAACCATCTGCTCACCCAGCTGTGGGCAGGAGTGCCACTGGAAGTTGGCATCACACAGACAGGAGCCTTCTTCCTCATGGCTCTGAGGATAGGAAGGCGGAGGCTCTCAGCGTGACCCCCACCCCACCTCTGCCACCACCATGCTGCCCTGGGGAGGTGCTGACCTGCACCAGCCAGGTTTGGCGGGATCACACTAAAGCCTGCAGTGGGCAGTGAGGGGAGGAGGGGCCCGCCATCCTCAGACTCATCCTAAACATTGGGGGCATTGGGGGACAGCTTCTACCCTTTCCTTGTGCTGGAGAGTGGCTTCCAGACAAGGGTCTGCCACCTGTGGGGACCCAGACTCCAGCCCAGCCCCAGATGCTGCAGACATAGGAGTAACCCAGTGGATGAGACATGCCACCTTTCAAATAAAATAATTTGGAAAAAAATACAAGGATTCAATAGCAGAGAAAGGCCCGGCTTGGCTGGGGGTGTGGGGGGGCGGGCTGTGGCCAGGGCAAGTGCAGTCTGTTCCTGTCTGACCTCCATGGGAGAAGCCTGGCGTGGTGCCCAGAGGACCAGGGAGGACCCCTCCCTCCCTGAGGACCTGCATGGTAAGTGGCCTCTGGGCTGGAGCTGCCAGCACCTCCATTCCCCATCTTGTTTGAAAAGCAGAGTTACAGGGCTCAGCGCTGCAGCCTAGCGGCTAAATCCTCACCTTATATGCATCAGGGTCCTGTATGGAGGCTGTTTCATGTCCTGACTGCTCCACTTCCTGTCTAATTCCCTGCTTGTGGCCTGGGAAAGCAGTAGCAGATGACCCAAAGCCTTGGGACCCTGCACCTGTGTGAGAGACCCTGAGGAGGCTCCGGGCCCCAGATCAGCTTTGCTCTGGCCACTGTGGCCACTTTAGGAGTGAACCAGCAGACGGAATATCTTTGTGTCTTCTCTCTGTGGATCTGACTTTCCAATAAAAAAATTTTTAGGGCCCGATGCGATAGTATAGCGATTAAAGTACTTGCCTTGAACATGCCAGGATCCCATATGGGCACTGGTTCTAATCCCAGCAGCTCTACTTCCCATCCAGCTCCCTGTCTGTGGCCCAGGAAAGCAGTCAGGGACAGTCCAAAGCCTTGGGACTCTGTACCCACGTGGGAGACCTGGAAGAAGCTCCTGGCTCCTGGCTTCAGATTGACTCAGCTCCAGCTGTCATGGCCACTTGGGGAGTGAACCATTGAATGGAAGATCTTCCTCTCTGTATATCTGCCTTTCCAATAAAAATAAAATAAATCTTTAAAAAGAGAAGAGAGCTGTTATCGGCCTGCTCATCTTGAATGATCATAGTGGCCAGGACTGGACCAAAGCCAGGAGGTGGAAAATTCCTGTCTGCCATGTGGATACAGGGGCCCAAGCACTTTGGGGGCCATTTGTTAGTGCTCTTCCCAGCTGGATGGGAAGTGGAGCAGCCAAGACTAGAACTGGAGCCCACACAGTTTAGTCACAACGCTAGCCTTTCCCCCACTTTTTTATCCTTTCCTCCCTTTCTTTACATGAAGGGCAGAGGACCAGGTCCTCCAGCCCCCTCACGCACTCCCCAAGTGCCTGCAGGTTGGGGCTGTCTGAGCCAGAAGGCAGGATCCTAGGACAACTGGGACATCCTTCCCTGTTGCTGCCAGCTGCATCAGTAGGCAGTCTAATGTGGAGTAGCCACATCCTCTGGGCCAGAGCCCTGCCCCCCTTTTAAAGTTCATTTATTTTGGGGAGAAAGTGGCTTCTTCCCCCATGGCTTCACTCACCAGATGGAGCACCCAGAACTCCACGTGCTGTTCCTGGATGTGTTGCCACGTGCCCCCTGCCAGGTGTGAGTCAGCAGTGAAAGGGGTTGGGACCCCTGATCTCCATCTGGGAAATGCTGCTCTGTGTGGCACTTTAGCAAGCTGCTACACCGAATGACTGCCTCTGGCCAGGCTTTACCTAGTAGCCCTGGGTAAAGTGCTCAGTCCTCCATGGTCTAAAGGGATACGTGAGGGATACGTGAGGGCCTTAGCCAGGGAAACCCTGGAGGTCTAGGCAGAGAACTGCAAGTGAAGTCTGGCTGTGTGTGTGTGTGTGTGTGTGTGTGTGTGTGTACGTACGTACGTATGTACCTGTACTCAGCCACACTGGCACACAGGTGTGTGTGCCCACACACGCTCTGGCTGCTCCTGCCACCTACCTTTCAGCCCCACGTGCTGAACATTCCCCAGGCCCTGTCACCTTAGCCTCAGGGTGCTGAGTGTTCAGTAAGGAGCTCAGTGACTTCAGAGCCCAGCTATTCCCAGGGGAGCTTCCTGGAGGCAGCAGCTGACTCCTCGTCACTGTCCATCCTGCTTAGCCTTTTCCTGGGATTTTCCCCCACTTCCTGCCAACCCCCAAGCCGCAGTCTCCTGTGAGTTCTGGCTTTGGGCACCAGGATGCTCGGGGGCCCCAAGTGTCCCCTCCCTGTGGGGCCTAGCAGTAGCGTTTAAAGCCCTGAGTCTGTCCCCTTGTGCCTGATGGAGTGGAGGACCCTCCCAGCCCTGGTCTACCAGGACGTCCCCGTCGAACCCCCTCTGCCAGAGCCAACCCTCCCCTCACCCTAGGAAGCCTCAGAGGCACTTGCTGACTAACCCATCCTCACCAGTGGCCCAGCCCTGACCTCTAACCCTCCCAGTAGGTGGGGGGAGGGGTTGCTGTAGCCGAGGTTGGCCTCAGGGGATGGCTGTGGTTCCATGACCCTAACCCATGGCCAGACCCTGCCAGCTGTGCAGGCCTTGTTGACCATCCTCCACCATGCCTGGCTCCCCGCCCTCCTGCTACCTGGCCTACCAGGGAAAGGCTGGAGCCTGACCAATCGCAGGACCGGGCCACACCCCTGATCAGCATGAGCTGGAAGGTATAAGTACACCTGCCTGAGGAAGGCCATCACCTGCACCTAAGCTACATGCCTGTAAGAACACTCGCCAGCTCCCTGCCAAGCAAGAAGCACGGGGCAGCTGCCCAGCCCTGGACAGACACCTGCCAGGTGGAGCAGAGGTCAGTGAAGAAGGCCACGTGAAGGAAGCCAAGGAACCCCGAGCCTCAAAGCCCAGCTGTGGCGGCAGAGTGGACGATGCCCAGGAGTCACTGAGCCCTGGCCCTCAGGTAAGGCTTGCTCCGCCTGAGCTTGGGGATGGGGGGAGGCTGGCGCCAGGTCCCTAGCTGCACAGTGCTGAGGTGGCCGCTGCCGCCCCCAGGATGTGGTGACCTCACACACTGGATGCCTGGGGCCCTCATGTCAGTGTTGCCACCTGACTGCGAGTCACAGGATGACCTGACAGCACCTCAAGTGACAAGCCAGCACCGTGAGAGGTCACCTCTGGGGCCCCAGTCAGGGAACGGCAGCTGTAACCCCGACAGGCAGAGGCTCCCGAGTCCCTCCCCTTGCATTAGACCACCCCCCAGTCGGCCGGGCTGGTCGTGCTGGCCCCTGGCCTCCACTCAGGCTGTCCCTGACCCCCTAGCACTGGATCAGCTTTGCCTGGCCCCCGGTTCCAGGGCCCACCCAGTGGCCCACAAAGCGCCCATGTCCCCAAAGGGCCCTGTGCTCCCCCTCTAAGTTCCCTTGTCCATTCTCGCTGCCGGGAATACCCCTAGAGCCCGACAGGAACATGAACACCATACCAGCCCCACCTTGTCCTGGTCTCCTGAGACCACTGGCCCTGCCCCCGCAGTGTGGTCAGGGTAAGGCTTTCCTCACGGACGCTCTCCCTGCGGTCACTCAAGATGGTCTCTGCTCCACAGCTCAGAGCCATGGCATCCGCCCATCAGGTGTGGCACACAGCAGTTTCACCCCCCAGCCATAGCAGCCCCACAGCCCAAGAGCCCAGGTCCCCTGGTTCGGCCAGCAACCCCAGGTCCCCCGGCACCCCTGGCTCCGAGAAGGTGGCCTCCCCGTTGGAGTGCTCCATCTGCTTCTCCGGCTATGACAACATCTTCAAGACCCCCAAGGAGTTATCCTGTACCCATGTCTTCTGCCTTGAGTGCCTGGCCCGGCTTGCAGCCGCCCAACCTGCTCACCGCCCTGGGGGGGACGCTGTGCCCTGTCCATTCTGCCGGCAGCCCACGGCTGTGCCACCCACCGGTGCCCCAGCCCTGCGCACCAGCCGCCAGCTGCAAGCCAAGATGCCTTCACACCTGCGGCGGGAGGAGCACGTGTGGCTGGAGGGCACCAAGCTCTGTTGCCGTCTGCCACCTGGTGCGCCCACGGCTGCTGGCCTCATGTGTGTGGACGTGGGCCTCACCAAGCCGGACCCTGCCCCACCCCCGGCTGTCCCGGTCCCTCGCCGCAGCCACCTGGCCCGCTGCTGGGCCCGCTGCTGGGACTGGCGGCGCTTGGCGCTCACATCTGTGCTGCTGCTGCTGCTCTGCTGCCTCGCGCTGTGGCCCCTGCAGTGCGCCCTCAAGACCGGGAACCTGCGCTGCCTCTCCCGGCCCCACGCGGTCACCGCTGCCCCCACCGCGCTCACCCTTGGACCGCTGGCTGACAACTAGGGCCACACGCCTGGGCAGCTCCGTAGATGCCAGAACCCTGGCCAAGCAAGTACCAAAGTCTACGTGCCAGTTGCAAGAGCCCCCGAGTCCTGGGAGACCCGCCTGGGCGTCTCTGGACCCAAGCCTCGCTGACCAACCCCTCGGCATGGACCCCAAGGGGTGGGGGAAGTACTGGCCCTTCAGAGGGCAGGGTGGCCTCCTTCCTCACATTTCACCAGGCCTGCTCCCCACGCAGGGTTAGGGCTGGGATGTGCATTTTTAAATAAATTATTTTGTATCCATATCTGGGTGTCCTTCAACTACAGCTCAACCCACAAGTTTCCTTTGGGGAAACTTCTCCTGGGCACTTCTCCGTGGGCACACCAGACAGACCTGGCACAGAGTCTTCTCCAGGCCTCACTAAGGGAGTGATCCAGCTGCGGCACCCTGCCCCACCTGGTACCCGGGATGGAGGAGTCGGGCCGGGGTCGCTGGCCAACTTTGACAGTGGTTCCAAGGCCTCGGGGACCCCACAGTCCCTCTGCCTGCCCCGCTGGCTGGCATGCCAACACCCCACACATCTCATGTGCAGGCATGACTGTTTCCGGGGTGGGCAGAGGGGAGCACCGTACGCAGGGTCGAGTGGGCATTGGGCGCAGGGGGGTTCTGGTGCGCAGGGCCCGCGGAACATTCAGGAAGCTTCTACCCCATGCTTGGGCACAGAGCCAGTAGGGGAAGCAGGAAGGAGGGGTCCTGGACCTCCACCCCTGTGAATGTGGGACCCTGGCCACAGCCTGATAGTCCCCATAGCTTGTCCGGGGCTCCTGACCTCACGTGTCACTGCCGACCAGTGCCCTCACACTGCTTTCACACTGCTTTTCCTCTGCTTGTGCTCCACCCCTGGGTCACGCCTTCTCAGGGCTCTGATAACGAGCTGAGCTCCCCAAACTGCCCCAAGGGATCTTCTTGTGCCCCTCTCCCAGGCGACCCCCCACCCCAACCACATGCCTTTCCAGCATCCTCAGCCGGTTTCAGGCTCGCATCTGGACAGAAAATCTATAACCTCACTGCTCTGTGGGGATGGGTGAGCCCCCAGCCAGGGACAGCGCCTGAGGGCGCCTGCAGAAGCACAGTCCCTGGGTCAGGAACCCTCAGCTTCTGACCCGTGTTGGGGTCGGGGTGGGAGGGAACGCAGACCCAGCACGCTCTCTCAGAAAGGCCTAGGGTCACCACTACCATGGGCCAGAGGGCAACCTGAGCCCACATTGGCCTCTCTAGCCTGGCAGGGTGGGGCTGTCGCCATACCCATTTCTAGGCTGTAAGAGGCCAGATGTGGGGACCAGGTGACCAAGCTCACCAGGGGAACACCTACCTCCCTTCCTGGGCCCACCACTGACTGCCTTTCCAAAACCCACTCCTTGCCTCCGCTCTACAGACCCCAAGATTGGTACCTGAAGTGCTGCTTGGGAGAGGTGGGGAAGGCAGGAGACTGCCCTGGGCCCCCCAGGCTCACAGGGAGCCCCACCTTGGACCAGAACTGTGGTGCTGTGAGTGAAGCGCCATTTATGGTGACCATCCCACACGGGCATCGTTTCCAGCCCAGGCTAGCTGCTCTACTTCTGATCCAGCTCCCTGCCAAAGTCGTGAGAAAGCAGTGGATGATGTTTCAGTGTGGGGTCCTGCCTCCCAGATGGGCATCCACTGCTCAGGCTGCCCCCATCCCATCCCTGCTGGGACCACCACAGTGGCACTGAGCTCTCCTTTTAACAAACACCATGGCTGAGTGGTCTCAAGTCCTCTCTCCAGGGGTGTTTGGCTCTCAGGCCCACTGCTTCCAGCCTCTGATTCCAGACAGGAAGAATCACCAGGTCAAAAGGTCCAGTCCTTGGCCCATGGTGGCACAGCGTTAGGGGCTCCCCTGGCCCCATGGTCTCTCGGCACCCTGCACTCCAGCCGTGCACAGTTGGGGTGGGGCTGTCACTTCAGGGTCAGTCATCTCTGGAGCCTTCTGGAAGCCCAGACTGGCCAAGCCACCCACCTGGGCCCATGGTCACCCTGTACAACTGTGCCAGTACTCTCGGGCCCCAAGCACGGGACCTGCTCCCTCAGGCCAGTGAAGGGGGCCCAACACCAGGGTCCGTGCCCCAAGGCTGAATCAAAAGCCACCTGCAGGTAGGGGGGTGGCAATGAGGACAGACATCCCTTTTGGGTTTCCGTTCTTTAATTCCTGGTGACTGACAGACAGTGGGGGGAAGGGGAGTTAGTAATGTGACACCATGCAGCTCCCACCACCCCCTCTGCCCACCTCACAGCCACTGTCCACTGCTGCCTGGTTTGCCTCCTAAGGCCACTGTGCAGGGTGGATTCCCCCGTCTGGTCAGACAAGGACAGGGGCCCCGCCCATGGGCAGCAGTGCACAGCCCATCACTGCATGCCATAGCTGGACCCAGCCCAAGGCCAGGTGCTGTCCCTGAGGACACAGGTTGCCCAGGCAGGCAGGATGGGTAGGGCCAGGCCTACTGTTCATAACGCAGGACAAGGTCGGGGAGGACGGAAGATCAGCTCCAGCGAGGGCCTGGAGGGCCCCTGGAGTGTGGGCAGGGCCTGCCCGGGGTGGGGCACATGAAGAACCCAGCCGGAGGCTGCTGGGGAGCTGACCCCCATGGCCCAAGTCAGCCTAGCATGCCTGGACGGAGGGCAGCCCAGGCCAGTGGACACCCTGGCCCTCAGATGGGCAAGGGAATTGTATCAAAAAGCAACAACTTTACAAAAATAGAAACAGTTCATTGGGAGGGCGGGCTGGCAGATGGCAGGGCAGGGTCAGCTCATGGGCCAGGGCAGGGCCGCAGCTCCGGCTTGGCCACTGCATCCTCCAGCAGATGCAGGGGGCGCTGGCCCACCATCACGTCCCTCAGGCAGCCCACGAAGCCTGTGCTGTAGGCCTTGGGCAGGGCCTGGCCCACTGGCAGCCTCTGCAGGCCCCCTGTAGGACACACAGCGGGCATCAACAACTGTGACTCCAGGCCAACTAGCCCAGGGTCCCTAGCCCCCAGATGCTGAGCGTGTTGCCCACAGCCCCAGCCATTGCACACGTGTGGCCCGGGCCAGGGTGGGGAAGGGCAGAGCTCGCCCCCGGGGAAGTCTCCTGGCTTCTCCTCATACTCACCAAGCCACAGGGCTCCATCTGTATCCAGCTGCGTAGCACCCAGCGGGGAGGAGCCGGTCACTGGGGCTTCGTTGCCCACCTGGAGGGAGCCTTCCCTCTGCTCCCTGAGGGGTCAAGCAGGGCCAATTAGGGGATCCCTTCTCCCACAGGGCCTGAAGAGCGGTGAGGCTCAGCTGGCAGCCAATCAGTCTCTGCTCCTCCCGCACCCTTGGCAGACCCTGTCCCCAGCTGACCTGTGTGCTCGGACGCGTAGCCAGCGGTTGGTGTTCACGGGCACACTTGAGCGCAGCACCACAGGCTGGGAGCCCAGGTTGTAGCTCAGCTGCAGGCGTCCGTCCACGATGGCCAGAGCCATGTAGTCTGCCCGCTCTGTGGATTTGCCAATCCACAGCACCAGCCCCTGTGTGGCCTCCGTGCGCAGGCTCAACTCGAAGTGGTTGTTCTGCAATGCCTTCTCACTGTGGGAGAGGAGGAGTCAGGTCTGCAGGTTAGTGTGGGGAAGAGGACGGTGGCAGCTGGTGGATGAGGGGATGGAGAGCGCGGAGGGCCAGGGCAGACGCAGGGCGTGGAAGCAGGTACTGCCCTGTGCTCACCTGTGCGGGGCCCCGGAGTCCCGAGTCTCAGGGCTTAGCGGCAGGAAGAGAGGGAGGCAGGTGAGCAGGTAGGAGGGGACAGACAGGCTGAAGAGCAGCAGGGAAGGCGGGACCAGCAGGTGTCCATGGAACACATGCAAGAGGGACCCCCACCCACCGAGGGGCCCTGGTAATAATATGTGTAACATGCACGTGCAAACACGTGGCCAGTGGGCATGGCCCAAGCCATGTTCAGTTCAAAGAGAATGGACATCAACTGAGGGCACACCTGCCTAGAAAAGTCCCCCCAGGATATTCCAACACATACTACCCCACTTATGCACACACCCGCAGACACTTAAACCCCTGTGTGTACACTTAAACCCCTCACACACACTGTGTGTACCCCATGGCTGTGGCCACAGGGCTGGCTTCCTAGAGCCATCCCCTGCCTGGATGGAGCCCAGGTGTGGCAGCCTGGGAAGAGTAGAGATTGGGGTGCTACTTACACTGGGATCTCATTGGCCAGTTCGCTTGGAAACAAAGAGACAGAGACAGTGAGAAGGAAGGAGGAGCAGATAGGACAGCACAGTGGCAGAGGGCAGCACGCTGGCCCCAGGGGCCTCACCTCTCAGTTCCAGCACTGAGGTACTCCACAAAGGTCTGCCCGTCAAAGGCCAACGCGCCCAGGTCCCCGGCTGACCGCTCCAACAGCCCTAAGGGATGGTTGGAGTGAGGGGGCCTGCACCTCCACGCCCCTGTCCCACCCCTGCCAGGCTCCCTGCAACCTCACCCTCCTCACAGTGCCTCCCCGAGAAGCCCGGGGGGCACAGGCAGTCGTAAGCAGCTTCTTGTGGGACACAAGTAGCCCCGTGGAGGCAGGGATGGCCTGAGGCCTGGGTGCAGGGGTGATCCCCAAAGACAGCGACGTCCACTGCCTGCAGCACGTGCTCCTGGCTTAGCAGCTGGCGGCCTTGCAGGGCAACCTGGGCCAGGGCAGGAGGGTGAGACAGTTAGCTAGAGTCGGGGAAGGACCTGCTGTCCGACACCCCTGGAGCTGCCAGCCCCACTCACCAGCTGGATGGCACCATCAAAGCCAGAGGCCACAGCGGCTGCCCTGGCAAGCTTGCTGAAGTCAGGAGCTCCGCCCACATATAGTGGCTCCTTCAGGTTAAGGACGGTGTGCGGCACCTGCGGGCGGACACTAGGTAAGGGGCTGGGGACAGAAGGATCCTGCACAGTACCCCCAGGAATCCACTTGGCTTCTGCTTATCTAGAAGGTGGTGGCAATCACAAGAAAAGATAGACCCTGGGGCTTGGTTGGGGGGCAGGGAGGCTGTTCCAGGGGCTAGTGGGGTAGAGGGGCTGGGCTTGGTGCGGGGAGCTGCTCTAGGGGTACTGGGG